AGAGCCCTCGCCCCCCGGCGCCCCACGCTCTCCCAAACCCTCCCACACACCCTCCTCCCCCCACCCGGAACCCTCTCCACAACCCCTCCCGCGACCCTCGACCTCGCCGGCAAAATCTCCGCGCACCCGGGCCTCGGTAGCATACAGATTCGCTGCGGGCCGCGCGACACGTATAATCCGAGCCATGTTGTGAGGAAGCGGCGACATGGGTTTTTGAGCCGGATACGGACGAAGAAGGGGAGGAAGATGATTATGAGGAGGTTGAAGAAGGGCAGGTGGAATATCTGTCATTAGAGAGGGGTTGGTGAGAGGGAGTTTTTTTTTGGGTGGTGAGGAGAGGTGTGGTGGGGATTTGGTTGTGGTGAATGGCGGATGAATCGAGTGGAGACATGGTGAAGATACGTATTTTGGGAGTGAAATGTGAATCATCTTCATCCCGGTGAATTTAGACGGGGAGGGTGTATGTCAAATGTATGTCACATGCACAGTCTATCGAACATCTGTACAACATGAAAGAATGCAAGATTGCAAACACAACTAGACTCAACAACCAACCCTCCTTCTCAGTTCAAGCCTGAGACCGAGACTAAAAGTATTTCATCATATCATCCCATCTACATCCACATCAGGCCACACATCCAGCCTCGAACCCACCACTGCGTCCTCCACATCAATAAAACAACTACAACTACAATTCACCCCCCGTTTAATCTTACACTTCTAGTGTATATACATGTACACGTACAATATATCCCACACATCCTATCATACACATAACATACAACACCACAACACCAACCCAAGTATCCTATTCCAAACAGTAGAAACATAACAAGGGGAATGAAGGAGATGGATAAAATCTCCCCCCTCCCAGCCTCCCCCCCACCAATCCCCTCACTCCAACCCAAACATTACCTTTTTCCCTCATCCAAAAAACTCCCCCGAAACAAGAGATTCCCAGGGCTTGCCTGTATCCCAGACTCTGCGCATGAGATTGCTGATTTTGGGGACCTGGTGTCGTGTGTAAGATTAGCTGGTTTTGCTTTGGAGTTTCATACCGCATCTTTCTTGCAACCACACACACAGATAACAACACCAAAAAAAAACCCTCAGCAAGGAACGGCAACGATAGCACCAAGGAAGAAGAAGAAAAAGAAACCTACATGCGTAAGGCCAAACCCCTCCACCCCACTCAATCGCCGCATAATCGTCTCCCTCGTCCCTGGCTCCAGGGCCTCGCAACCTGCTGCAAACATTGGGAAAATCAAACAGGCCTCCGCACTACTGCCGCGCCTGATGTCTCCCAGCAGACGTACAATCTGTCTCACTGCGTGCTGGACGAGGGGGTCTGGCGCGGGTTTGGCGAGGACGCGGCGGTAGAGATGGAGGAGGCCGGCCCAATGGAAGAGTTGGTTTGTGGCGTGGATTTCGGGGGCGGGGGTGGTGGGGGTGTGATGTGGATGTTGTTGTTGTTCTGAGTGTTGGTTTGGAGAGAGGGGGGAAGGGGAAGAGGTGTCACGGCGGTGTGTACACGCGTCGCTGAAGTTGCAATCGAGGAGGCCTTGTTGGAGCGCGGCACCAATCTTGTTGGCTTCTTGGATGATGGCTGGGTCTGGGGTCCAGTTTGGGCGGACGTTGCCTTGGGCGTCGATGCGCTGCGGTTTGCAGAGTTTGGCGAGTTCGGAGATGCGTGCGAGGTTTGCGACGCAGTGGGTGGTGAAGCCTAGGAGGCAGTCGATTTCAAAGTCTTGGTCTTGGTCTGGTTGTGCATCTACGTCTGCGGATCCTGATGCTGATGCTGATGCGTGAGTGCTGCTGGTCCAGTAGCTAGAGCCAAGCATCATATCGTTCTTGTCTCCGCTGAGCGAGCCAACGACGTCGAGATAGGCAAACCAGCGGGACAAAAAGTAAGCAACGCGATTGTGGCGGCCGAGGGCGTTTGGGCCGCCGCGGGCAATGATGAGCTGCCGAGCCATGGTGAGGTGGTTTTGCCAGGAAATAGGGACTTCAAACGTGCCCGAGCAGATGATCTCGAGACTGGCGAGCATGATGACTACGGCTAGTGTGTTGTCGGATATCGAGCTGGGATTGTCGATGAGCGTCTGGCGGAGTCGGGGGAACACGTCTTGGACCCAGACTGCGATGCGGTTTGTGGGTTCGCGGTGGTTGAGCATGCGGGCGCGGTGGGCGGCACTGTAGGCGAGGAGGAGGTTCATGATGTTTTCGTCATGTACGGCCACTGTTCATGTCAGTGAATGGGCGCCATGGCATACAGATCTACTCACTTTCTGGTAAGATTTGTCGAAACGGATTTCTTTCGCAGTCATGCGGGACCAGTATGCGAGCTGTGTGGTTGAGAAAGTGGTGGAAGTAGAGAAGATTCATTGGGTTTTCCATGAGTAGAGGCGGAAGTGTTCCCAGAGCTTTTGATATCCTAATGGGTACAGGCTTCGCATAATAGCCTCCTTTTCCAAAAGCAACACGTTCAAGCTGAGAATCTGCGCTTCCATACGTATCCTCGTCCTGGAGATCCCTAACATCATCTTGTGCACTGAATATGGCTATCGCAGCAAAATCGGCATTGTTTGGAGTGTCATAATCTGGGAGACCGCAATCATAACCATATGTTGTAAAGGACTTGTCTGCGATTGAATGTTGGTGCCTGTGTACTGCCCCAGAACTGTGATCTGGAATGGTGCCCTCAGGCCCCCGGTGGATCAGTGATTGGACCGACACTCGATGAAGATCAGCAGGCGTATACTCTGTACTTTGATTCCGCTGTGAGGCTCTTGAAGTGGCTTCATCAGAACTGACTGGTGATATGGGAGTCAGAGGCATGGATAAATAGGGACTATAGGGTGTTGGTGGACCGGTGTTTGGCGAGCAGACATCCGACGCAGTCGTGGCAGGAGATTCTGCAGAAGAACTGTGTTTACGACGCTTGGCCATCGGTTCTGTAAAGCCGCGCGGGGGAGGCATATCCACGTTCGAGGGTATGAAGCCGGTGTCATGACATTGGTATGGTTCAAAGCCACGCTTTAAAGCCGAGGGGAAATCAAAGGGATTTTGGAAGCGATGGGGAACATATGGCGAAGCAGTGGATGCCGTGCTGGTTCCTGGAAAGCATGACTGCTGAGAAAGGTTCCGGACACTATCCAAAGTCGGGTCGACATTGGCCTGGCCCGTCTGTTTCATCGTCTGATCGACTATGAATTGTGACACGGCTGATTTTGGTATATTGGGACGAGGACATGCATCTTGATGGCGGTTCAGTGGTCGTGGGCTTGTAGATAACAAGGGCGAGAGATTTTCCTCGAACGAGAAGGTTGTTTGATACTGGTTGCATGATGGAGCATCAGAGCCAGTACCGGCCTGATCTCTCTTGATGCGCCCTCCCCAGTTCAGTCTGATACTGTAATCGCATGGTTCACTTTGACGTTCACAATTTAAGCAATGTGGTTTCTCTTCTCCGCTGTGAAACAGTCATCGATATGTTGATGTCTAGCGTCCCTTCCAAAGAGCTTACCATTTGATTTTTCGTGCTTTGCAGGGCCTATGATCAAGGATCAGCTGCAGACTTTCTGATTGATGCAACGCTGTGTAATTACCAGCAGCCATTCCGAGATCTTCTCTTCGGCTCAACACCCGGTTTGCCTGGTCGAGGCATGACCAACCACTGCAGGGCAAGCAATTCGTTCAAATCGGACGTGTGACAGCACCGCCGCGGAGGGTTATAAGTAAGGAGTGTCAACGCAGAGAGCCGATATGCAATCCAATGATGTTATAGCATTCACGGCCGAAAACTAGCTTCGGTAGGTAATGAGGGTGACGAGCGGGGATAAGTTGGGGATAGCACGAGACTAACGGATTCCACAATACAAGCAAGAGCTGGATGCATGCCTATGCATAGAAGGTCGATTTGGCGCATACTTTGCAAAGGCACCGTCTGTATCCAACGAATGTTTCTTATCGTTTGGCCGGAATTCTTGTCGGCCACATTGCATGCTGGGACTGTGTGGAGGTGTTTGATGATCGATAGCATCGAAGCGATGCCGCTCAGGTCTGGCTCACCTCACTTGCCCTGCGCACCAATCACAACCCTGGAGTCGCTCAGCGGGCCTATGAACCTCGGAACGCTACACGCCACAGCCTCTTGATAAGTGATCATCAAAGAGAGCTTGTTCATTGGCGAATTCCCAAGCAGAATTGAAGGAAGCGATTAATGGTCAACGCAAATAGTGGCCGTCAGCCCCTGACATGTGTGACACCTGTCAATGTCAGAAGTCCCGAAGGTGAGTAGTCTCAACACTACAAAGTGGTCTCTCCCTCGTTGCAGTAGTAGACCACTTCCATTTCATCAGAACTTCCTGTATTCTTAACCGCATCCTCGAAATCTTTACCTCTCTCGTGTGATTGTGGCACATGCCTCAGCCGACTGGTTATAAGTCACATAATAGGAGCGCTGTGCAACCATTGAACGAATGCTATCTGTGTGCATTCGACATCCTGCACCCCCGAGAAAATAGTTCCATTCAGTAATGAACGTGCTCCATTTCCTCGACTTCGTGATTCCAATGCAACCTTCCCAGCGCCACAAAGTTGACATCTTCGACATCTGACCATGGACTGACGTCGTGGGGCCGTGCCAAGCTCTCGAAACATCTCCACAATCTTCTCTTCGCGATACATCCAACACCCACAATCACGGCCCCTCCACCATTCCTCTCCCCAAATCTCCCCCAAAAGACCACCCACGACAACTTCACCATGCTCACAAGGAGCGCGCTATGCCCCACGAGGGCCTTTGCAACCCGCTTCACCCCCGCCATACTCGCCCCATATTCCACGTCTGCGTCATCCTTTCCCGCCAGCACACGACCCGCCAAGCAGCAGCAGCAGCAGCAACAACACCAACGGACGCCTTTCACCCCACGCGTCACATTCTCGAGTCGAATTTCCCTCCGCAGTGCATCATCTGCGCCCTCACAGTCCGCGCCCGGCTCTGCATCGCCCGCGCAGCCTCAACTCACATGGGACGCCTTCTTCGCTCTGCGCCGCACGCGCAGGAGAATTGGACAGGCTTGCTCGGTCATAGGTGCGGCGGGTGTGACGTACTATGGTCTGACGACCATGATCAACAATGGCTACGACGCGACGCTGTCTGCGCAACTGGGCGGATTTGACCCCTTCATGCTCATGGGGTTGAGTACGCTGGGGATGATGGCTGTGGGGTGGCTGATTGGACCTGTTTTTGGCAATCAGGTGTTTAATTTGGCGTATCGGGGTGTGCTGGCCGAGTTTACTAGGGTATGTCATAAGTTCATTGGTGATGTCCAGCCAGAAACGAAGGACATGTTGCTAACATGAAGGGTACAGAAAGATACAACCTTCTTCAACCGCATCAAGCGCCACCGTGTCGACCCAACAGCTTCATCGCTTGCAAATCCCCCGCCAGACTACTACGGCGAAAAGATCAGTAGTGTAGCAGGGTACCGACGGTGGTTGAAGGACCAGCGCGCCTTCAACCTCAAGACCGGACGCTACAAGGGCGCCATCAAGTCCCAATAGACCGAATTGAACAATCGCGATCCACAATCCGCAATCCGCATTCTTCCTTCTTTTCTTTTGTGACTCTATCACTGTGGCGTCAACAAGATGTCGGTATCACAGTACTGGCACATGGGCGCTTCTTCACACCAAACGGGCTTTCATTCACATTCTAGGCCTTTCTTTTTTCTTTTTTACTATTGGCGACGAAAAGAGGGAATAGGGGTGGCGGTGCTACTGTTACTGCTAGTGTATTTTGTACGCATGTAGTCATGGCACATGACCTCTCCGTCTTAGGCTTACCACTACGCTCTGTGCAAATGAAATCATGGCTAGAGATGTTCACCTTTTGGGATACTATTTTTTCGGGTATCGTCGAAGAAGTGATTTAAAACGCGAATACTCTTTGGCTTTTCTTGTTCTGCACGGTCTGTTTTCTTGCTCAAGGGGATGCATGCTAAACACCTTTTGTTATGGACAAGGGCACAACTAATCGCCTTGATGCATCAGAATTTCCATTTCTTGCTTTGGCTATCCGCTAATGCAATCTTCCATATGCTGAAGACCTCTACTCTATCCACATTCTCTAATCCAAGCCACAAGTGCCATGAACCCTGATTTGCTCCAACCCACACCTTGCACACACGCACATCACAACCCTCGCACAACTCGCTCTACACCACCAAATAAACCCTCCCCTCAAACGGGGCCAACTCCTCCCCAACCGGCTCATCCACACTACTCACCAATAACTCCAACTGCTCTCCCCTCACCCCCTCCGGCCACACCAACCCTTTCCTGCCCTCTGTAAAATTACACACGCAAACCGCCTTCTTCCCGCCCCCCGTCTTACTAAACACATACAGCTCCTCATTCCCCAGATCCAAATCGTCATACTGCCCATGCACCAGAAGATCGCTATACTCCTTGCGCACCCGCAACATGCGCTTCCAAAAGCCGAGCACGGAATCCTTATCGCCGCGCTGCTGCTCGGCATTGCACACGTGCGCGTCCTCGAGCGGCCGCATCCAGGGCGCGACTTTTGCGTCTGGCGGCGAGAAGCCGTTAAAAGGCGCGGTACTCCAGCTCATGGGCACACGGGAGTGATCGCGCGCCAAATGCTGGAGACTGGCGTGCGCGGCCTCGAGCGCTTGCTTGTTGCCGCCGGTTCTGCGCTCGACCATCTTGTAGTAGTTTGTGCTGTCTACGTCCTTGTATTCCTCCATGCCCCAGGTCTTTGGGAAGTTGGTCATGCCGAGTTCTTGGCCCTGGTAGATGAATAGGGTGCCGCTGAGGGCGCACATCATGAGGGCGAGCATTTTGCCGCCGGGGATGCGGTGGGCGGGGCTGTCCGAGGTGAAGCGGGTGATGGAGCGGGCTTGGTCGTGGTTTTCTAGGAAGACGGTAGTCCAGCCGTCTGAAGGGGGGCGGATGAGGTCTTGGGTGCGGGCGATGGCGGTTTTGAACTGAGGGAGTGTCCAGTTGCGGGGTGTGGTTTGAAATTTGTAGGGTCCTTGGCCGACGTCTACTACGTCCTAAAAAGAGGGGGAGTGGTTGTGAGTATATACATGCTTTTCTTCGAGTAGACGTTTTTTTCAACATGACTTGGATAGTGCAAGACTTACGAATTGGAACACCATGTTTAGCTGGTTGCTCTTCGCGCTGACGTATTCAAGCACACGTTTCATGTCTGGTGTGTTGGGGCACTCGCCAACTGTCATGGCATCGTATTTCTTAAGCACCTCATTCATCTCGGCGAGAAATTCAGCCATACGTGGACCGTTGCAGTACTGGTAGCCTGCAAACTGCCACTCGGAACCTTCATCAGTAATGGGCGCATCCAGCATCTCGCCCTTGCTGTACATGTTGACAGTATCCACACGGAAGCCGTCCACGCCACGCTCCAGCCAAAACTCCATGGCCGATTTGCAAATGGCTTGGCGGGTTTCGGGATTCTCCCAGTTGAGATCGGGCTGTTCTGGGCAGAAGAGATGGAGGTAGTATTCTTGCGTGTGCTCGTCCCATTCCCAGGCGCTGCCCGTAAAGTTGCTGACCCAGTTATTGGGCGGTTTACGTTCACCATTGACGTAGCGGGCGGGGCGCCAGATGTACCAGTCACGTTTTGGGTTGTCTTTTGAGGAACGAGATTCCAAGAACCATTTGTGCTGCACGACGTTAGTATCATGGAACAAGAAGATTTCACTAGACTGCAATAGTCTTGATTTCTCCCCGTCATAACATACCTGATCAGAGGTATGGTTGACGACAAGATCCAATATGATTCTCATGCCTCGATCATGAGTCTCGGATATCAACCTCTCCATGTCTTGCATAGTACCGTAGGGTGCGTAGACGTCCTCGTAGTTGCGGACGTCATATCCCATGTCGACCTGTGGAGAATCATACATGGGACATATCCATATGACATCAACACCAATGGATCGAATGTAATCCAGTTCCGAGATGATGCCATTGAAATCACCGATACCATCGCCATTGGAGTCTTTGAAACTGGCAGGATAGATCTGATAGACGACACTATCTTTCCACCACGGTCTCTGTTGGACTGTCATTGTGTTCTATGGTGGTAGTGGTGGGGGTGTTGGTGATTGACAAAGTCTTGATACAAGTTTTGGTGTGACGTTGAGAAAGAGTTGGACAGTAGCGGCAAGTGGGGTTAGATCAGGCAGCACGGTTCTCCGGAGTGGCTTGGAACAGCAGTTTGTAGCTTTCTTATACAATAGCGACTATCAGACTGTGGGGAAACGGCGATCAGTCTCTTGATCGTCAAGGACCAACCAATGCCATGTCGAATCGCCTGAATTGTGGTGAGATCCTGATGGAGCGATTCTCGGAAGGAATGGCAGGATTCTCGGAAAGACTATGGCCTTCTCCTGCTCGTCCAGTGCCGGACCGACATGAAGGGAGGGAGGAATGGCAAGACATACCTAGACATCACGGGGGACCAAGGGCCGTATCTTCGACGTTTGCCCCATGGGGATGGGGATGTGGCCAACGCTCCCCCGCAACGATCACTGTACGGTACAGGTACCGGTACTACCGGTAAGCGAGACCATGGCGGGGAGAAGGGTGCAGTGTCAGATACAACACAGACGAGACGAGCCGACATTTGACGAATGAACATGGCCTGGCGTGGGTGTTTGCATGAAAGGAGCATTGCTGCACGTCCTAAAAAAAAAAAAAAAAAAAAAAAAAAAAAAAAGGCCGCCCAAAAGCCCTTCTCGTGATGGAGACCAGGACCGCTTGACCTTGGAAGGCCTTTGGGTTTGCATCGGGCCGACTTGAGACGAATCCAACGACCCTTCTTCTCTTCAACGACGTCGAGCGACGATGACACCAGCGGCGGCTCTACCCCAGATTCGCACTAGGCCGAAGCCATAAAACCCCCAGGCGAAGAAAGCAAACCAGGAGACGGGCAGCGGCCACGGCTTCGTCTTGTGAACTGTGGCGGCTCTCCCCGCGTCATTTTGTTCACTCCACCATCCCCGTCTTTGCACTTGGCCGGAGCTTGGACAGGGACATGGACATGGGCCTCGCGTGCTGGACATCGGTCGAGTTGCATAAGTAGAACGCGGAGATTCCACCAAATCGAGTCGACGCCAACAGCTTTCAGAGCTTCATTTCCCAGTACCACGGTACCTGAGCAGGAGTGGTCATCATCGATTTGAACATACAATTATACTGTCTCCAAGACTTTGAAATTCCCCTCTGCTCTGCTACGCCGCCCTGGGAGCAGGCACAATTAGCAATTGAAGCACGCTCATCGACAGCATGTCTCTCCGCAACAGCAACGTCGTCGCTGCCGACCATGAGCAGGCACGTCGCCTGTCAGTCGCCATGCACGACATCAAACAGGTCACCCACGATGCCAACAAGGCCTCGGAATCCGAGCAGAAAATGACTCTGCGCGAGGGCATCCGACTTTACCCCAAGGCCATTGCATGGTCTGTCCTCCTCTCCGCCGCCATCATCATGGAGGGTTTCGACAAAGTTCTCATTGCCAATCTGATGGCGGTCCCTGTTAGTTCTCTGAGATCCTTTTTGATAAAAGTGAAGTTGCTAACCAGGACATCTCTCAGGCCTTCAAAGAAAGATTCGGCTCACCCATTGCCGACGGATCCTACGAAATCACAGCAGCATGGCAAGCCGGTCTCACCAATGGAGCCTTTGTTGGTGAATTCTGCGGTCTGTTTCTCAACGGTATCATTGCCGATAAACTCGGCTACAAGAAGACCATGATTGGTGCCCTCTTCCTCACCAATCTCTTCATCTTTGTCGTCTTCTTCGCCCAAAACATCACCATGCTTCTCATCGGTCTCATACTCTGCGGTATTCCCTGGGGCGTCTTCCAGACCCTCACCACCACTTACGCCGCTGAAGTGGTCCCTGTCCCCCTCCGCCCGATTCTCACAACCTATGTCAATCTTTGCTGGGTCATGGGCCAGTTTCTCGCCTCGGGTGTGCTAAAGGGTGTTGCGGAGCGTCCGGACCAGTGGGCCTACCGCATCCCCTACGCGTTGCAATGGATCTGGCCCATCCCATTGATGATTGGGATTTCCTTCGCCCCGGAGTCGCCATGGTGGCTCGTCCGCAAGGACCGCGAGGACGACGCAAAGAAAATGCTCATGCGTCTGACTTCGCCCGAGAGACACCCTGAATTCAACGCTGACGAGACTATCGCCATGGTACGTTCCCCTTCTTCCCATCCCATCTCATCAACACAAGCTCACGCGCAACCGCAGATGCGCCACACCAACGAATTGGAAAAGTCCCTCTCAGAAGGGACATCCTACCTCGACTGCTTCCGCGGCACCGACCTCCGCCGCACAGAAATCGCAGCCATGACCTGGTTCACGCAAGCCTTCTGCGGAGCCTCCCTAATCGGCTACTCAACCTACTTCTTCCAGCAAGCCGGCCTCTCCGACTCCAACTCCTTCTCCATGTCCCTCGGCCAATACGCCATCGGCGGTGTCGGCGTCTTCATCGCCTGGGCGCTCATCCCCCGCGTCGGCCGCCGCACCCTCTACCTCTGCGGCGACGTCGTCATGCTCATCCTGCTACTGCTCATCGGCGGCCTCGGCGTCATCGACAGCGACAACGTAGGCGCGCAGTGGGGCATAGGCGCCATGTTGCTCCTCTTCGCCGCCGCCTACAACTGCACCGTCGGCCCCGTCTGCTACGCCCTCGTCGCAGAAATCCCATCCACGCGCCTACGGCAGAAAACCGTGGTCCTCGCCCGCAACTTTTACAACATAGCCAGCATCGTCGGTAACGTGCTTACACCGCGCATGTTGAACCCGGGGGCGTGGAACTGGGGCGCTAAATCGGGCTTCTTTTATGCGGGCACGTGTGCGGCTTGCTTTGTTTGGGCGGCTTGCAGGTTGCCGGAGCCCAAGGGGCGGACGTATGCGGAGTTGGATATCTTGTTTGAGAGGAGGATTCCGGCGCGTTTGTTTCGGGGGACGGTGGTGGAGGGGTTTGGGGGCGGGGAATTTGGGGGTGAGTATGGGGAGAAGAAAGGGGGGGTTTCGACGCATTTGGAGCAGGTTGGTTCCAAGGATCAGATTTAGGGAATGTTGTGGTGATGAGTTTGGGAGTGGAATTGGGGTGGGGGGTATATACACTTATAGTAATCCTATGGATGTGCTTTTGTTGTTTGGATGTGGTCAGCTGGTTAGCGGAGAATTTTCTTCGTTGTATATAAATGTGTAGATGGTACATTCTCCTCAGATGGTAGAGACGATGCTTGTTCATTTCAAAAACCCAGTTTCGTGCACAACATCTTGATTGAACTTACTCGAAGTATTCTAAACAGCTACTCACATCCATCTCTCCCTACTTGTACAAACCCCCGCTCCCCCCAAGAAATAAAGCGAAATGACCCTGGCCCCAAAAACAAGCATAGCACGTCCCCACACACGCTAGCTAATGCTCCCTAACCTTTGCCATGGTTAGCCGGTGCGAAATGTGATTCCAAGTCGCCAACTGCCCCGCCTTCGTCTCCGCTCGCGGCACCTGGGCATTGGGTCCCAGGCCATCGGCGAGCTCCTCTAGCCCGGAAGCCGTCTTGGATTGCGTGACCTGGTGCCAGGGGTCATTTGCACCCGGGCTCTGCAGATCGACGGGGAGGGCGGGCGAGCTGGCATTGCTAACAGCGCCCGGGAACATGCTGTGCAGGCGTTCTAATTTCCCGAGAAGGATACCACGGCGCGTGAGATCGAGCTGGGGCAACAACAGGACAAAGTCGAGGATGAAGAGGAAGTCGTCGATTCGCAGGGCGGTTTCGTCGAGGGTGGCGGCGGGGACGTGGATGAGGACATCGGCAATGGTGTCTGTGATTTCAAAGAGTTTTTGCGTGATGCTGCTGCCGTGGACTTCAATGTCTTGGCGGGACATGCTGGAGACTTGTTGGCGGAGGGTTTGGGAGAGGCGGATGGGGAAGAGGAGGGAGAGACATTCTTTGGAGGATTTGGAGGAGAGGAGCGTTTGGCCCATGGCAAGTCTCCATACGAGTGTGCGAAGCCATTCACGGGTTATGGTCAGGTCGGCTCGCTGCATCATGGATAGGCCGGCAAGATCCCGCGCATCGGCCTCAGGATCGCCTTCGAGTTCGCGTGATTTGGCTTCGACCCAGGTACTGGTCACGGTGCCACCTTGTGAGTCGAGCCAGCTGGTGAGGAAGTCTGTATCGAGCATCCGAAAGAGCTTGATGATCTGATTGAAGCCCTCGTGGACTTGCAAAGGGATTGTGGGGTCGTCTTCTGGTAGTGTGTAGAGTGGTGGCAAAATTGCTCTCCGGTAGTCCAGAATAGCCAGGAAGCGCTCATGAATATAAGCTTGCCAGTACAGCCGTTGCCTCCTCGATCTTTCAGGAGGCGAGAATTGAGCGGCGTCTTCGGCATTGTCGATACGCAGCAGTTGAATGATGGATATGGCGTCCCGCATGTAAAAGAAGGCCGCATCGCTACCTTGCAAGCTCATGAGACAATTGTGAATGAATATGGACTGCATGGCTCGCATGACGGAGAATTGGAAATGCTTATGAGCTCGTCTCATGCTGTCGATTGAGTAGTCCATGAGCTCTTCAATCGTCTGGACCACCTCCTCTGTCCTGCGGTTCCCATAGCGGGTCAGATTTAGCGTACAGCCGCCAAAAGCATAGATGAAGGAGCGGACATCCTGATCCGTATCCATGACATGAATGTACTGTCGAAGCTCATTTTCCGAGATGACCGGCTGCACCGGATACACGCCTTCCATGTAGTCTGGTATCAAGTCCAGGAAGAAGGCCTTGGAATACTGACTTGGAAACAGCGAAACGGAAGATGCTGCCTCTTGTAAATCATCTGTCTTCGCTGATTATGCCATCTGCTGATGCATATGTCAAGCGGACTTACCGGCATCGCTGTTATGGCGCTTGATGGCCGGTGGCAGACTGACGCAGGGAGCCTGAAAGCCCGCCTGGGCTGTATTCGCAGGCAGTATGGGGGGCGATATAGCAGCAGCATGATAAGTCTGACGCCTGAACTCGGAGATGATATGGCCGCGTTTTCCCTGCGACCGATGCTTGCTAGAAGGGGAGTAGATACAGCGGAGGCCAAGATGGGCGCACTGTTGGCAACGCTCCTGGCCGTTGCATTTCACCTTCCTCCTCTTGCAGGCGTCGCAGGCTTTCGACACTCTTTTCTGAGCTGGCGGGTCCATTGCAACGGCTCATGATTTTAAGTGGTAGTGGTGTCTTTGTACAGACAGGCCCTGCGCGGTCAGCAGATCTGGATTCTGGGGGCGGGTACTCGAAATGCGGAGGAGGTCGACTAACGTGATCCACCACCGAGCGCCCACCCCCACCGAGCGCCCACCAACACCAAAATCCACCACCCACTAAATAAGGATATTGCGCCACCCACAATAGCTATTATTACAAGATTTCTTAGAGTTATAATTATTAGATCTATTAGAGTAGATTAAATATTTTAGATTATATAAGTAGCTTTTTAGGGGGTCTAATTAGGTGCCTACGCTATAAAGTTACCTCTACTACTATATCCTCTTCTACTAGCTCCTTATTAACTACCTTAGCTAGTATAATAGTAGAAGGCTTAAGGATTTACCTCTTACTTATTTAAGATATTTTAATATTATTTTAGAGTTACTTTTCTAGTTACTTAGTAGTTTTCTATTTATTATATATAGTAGCTTTTTAAGTAGCTTTCTCCTCCTACTCCTTTTTAGTAATTACTTAATTTAGGTAACACTCCTTTATAAATTAAGCTTTAGCAAGCTTCTATTACTTATAAAGCTTAATTACCTTACTTTTTTAGTATTATAGCTCCTATTCTTTAAGGTTCTTTTACTCCTAGAGCTTAAATACTTACTCTACCTTTAATAGTAAAATAAATTAGGTACTACTACTATAATTATTATTAGGGGGTAATAATAGAGGTTTACTACGCTTCCTACGCTTCTTCTTATTAGCTAGGGCAGCCCTTAGGTGTTTATTTTTATAGTTAAGTAGAGTATTTTTTACTAATATAGTATAGATTATCTAGCTAAGCTTCTTTAACTATTTATTATAGATATTAATTATAGTATTATAGAGTAACTACTCTATCTTTCTCTAATTACTTATACTTAATATTAAGGTTATACTATTACTTAAAGAAGGCTAGTTACTATTATTTATAAGTGCTTTAAACCTTAAAAGGATAATATTAGGGTTAAGTAGTAAGATACCTATTACTTTAAAAGCTATTAATATTAGCTTTTCCTTAAAGGTATTACTTTATATAGTATTAAATAACTAGTAGAAATCCCTCTTAGTAATACTTATAAGCCCTTAAGAGCTATCTAGAAAACTAGATAGTTAAGCTTTATATAAAGCTATAAAGGGAGCAAATACTATAATATTAAGTAGCTAAAGGGTATAAGTGCTATAAGGGGGATATATTATAAGTAGGATCTTATATTTATTATAGTACTTAATAAACTCTATTATTATATAAGATCTATAGCTATTAAGGATAAGGAGCTAGTATAAAGTATAAGCTTTAGCTTTTATGTAACAATCCTATCGTGAAGACACCTTATAGTGTTCTAGTTAATTAGGCGCATCCCTAGTTAGGTTTAGTGCCTTAGCGACTAAGGTGCGTAAAACCTGCGCTTCGCGCGGGGTTTTAGGAGGACAAGTATTATTCTCGTGTTAATACTATACCAATAGCCATCTCTACACTATTTTGTCTAGTGTGAAGCAAATACTATTGCCTACAACTAGAACCTTACATTTTATCTTATAATTAAACACCTCCTTAAGCTAGGATACCCCTAAGATATAGCTTATCTACCTACTTAGTAATCCTATAAAGAAAGCTTAGTATTATAATAGGTTAAAATCTTATAACTAGGTATCTTATAGAGCTCTAGATTAGGACTAATAAATAAGAGTAGAGGTAAGAGTAGTACTATTAGCGTATATATAAGCTATAGTAATAATCTACTCTCTATTACTATTCTAGAGTATAGCTCTAATCTTTCTCTACTTATAGGCGCTTTTATTAAATATATATTTAGTTTTTAATAGTACTCTAATAAGAAAACCTTTCTTATCTATATTATAAATATACTAACTCTTAATATTATATTACTCTATTTTTTAGTATAAAAGCTTAAAGTATAAGCTATACTTAAAGGTAGAATTAGCTTTAAAGTAGTTATAATTAAGCCTAGTAGCCTAATAGGAGATAAGATTAATATTATAGTAGTTAATAAAGTGCTATACCTAATTTTTACCTACTAGATTCCTTATTATTTTAGTTATAAAATTTTAAATAATAGTCTATATAGGGAGTAATCCTTACTTATAAAGCTCTTTAATATACTGTTGCAGGAGGGATATTAACTGGATCACGGAGCATCTTGATCCCGATCAATCCCGATCAATCCTGGTCAATACCCCTGTATAACCCACTATCTGATCAACTGCCAGCTTACTACCAAGTGCCTAACAAAAAGCAGGAGCTCTAGTAAGGAAGGTTTACTAATTATTCACCTTCTAGTAAGGGTAGCTAAAGCTCTATATATATATAAGTCTAATTATAGTAGATATAATCTAATAATCTATCTCCTAAATTATTCCTAACCTTAGTAATCTAAATTTCTATAGTTATAAGCCTAGTTCGCGCTTTACCTTATTAAAGATTGTCCTATCTATTTAAGCGTATTGTTTAACTTAGACACTAAGCTAGCAAGCTTTACTCTTTATATTATTTCTTAAGTAAAAGTCTTACTTATTACTCTTCTACTATAAGCAACTAAATCCTAAAGGGGGATATCCTACTTACTAGATTAACTAACTGGCCTACCTAGTATATTTAATTTAGATACTATGCCCTAACTAAAGGGATCTAGGTAGAGGTAGACCCTAAGGCTCTAGATACTAAAAACTACTTTAAGAATAAACCTATTAAGCCTAACATGCTAATAGATATTGTGCTATTTAATATAACAAGCGAGTAGTACAAGCTCTAAATAGCTTAGTACTAAGCCTACTTATTAGATTAGGTATTAAAGTTATTAGTAATCTAGAACCTCTTTATATAGGTTAACAATATAGTAGATTAAGGGATCCTTACCCTAGCCTATATAGAGCTTGTTAATTAAGGAAGAGTAACCCTCTAAGCACTTATCTAAGTGCTCTGCAATAACCTAGCGCTAACTAACTTAAGTGCTGTAATACTAGCAAGATTATAGTATAAAGCTTATCTTACTAAGGCAAAGATAAGTAGCTAAGACGCTAATTACTAGTAGAAGGAGTGGACAATCCTATATACGCAAGCTAAGGTATATAACATACCTAATATTAAAGGACAGCTTATAGTATAGGATTATCTTAAAGCTCTATCTACTAGGATCTTACTAGATTAGGGTTAAAATATATTTTAAAGGATTATTAAAAAGTTAGTAATAGAAGAGCTAACTTATAACCTCCTATAGGTTACTAAAATCTATTTATTACTTCTCTAAGAAAACAATATAAGATTAAGCTCTAAAGGTCCTAGAGTGTTTGTAATAATAGGAGCTCTACCTTCTAATTAACTAAAGAAGGAGTCTTTATACCTATATAGTAGATCTTACCTATAGAAACCTCCTAAATATAAAAACGTTATTAAAGCTTAGACTAATATAGGTAACAAGCTTACTACTACTTAATAATTAGAGATTAAGAAAAAGATTAATAGGAACCTAAAATTTAAAGAGTTAAGAAAAGCTCTAATTAAGTCCTATCCTATTAATTAAGATTATAGTAGTAAGGCAAGCGCAATCACCTATCTAGGCAGTATCTAGGCGGCACTAATTAACCCTATGTTAATAGCAGAGAAAATAAACAGGATCTATTTAACTATAGACTTTAAAGCTTACGCTCTATTAAAGAGCACTATCTTTAATAATAGGGGTGTAGTGCACCTAGTTAATAATATAAGCTACCTAGAAGAAAGCTTGTTTAGATTAGTTAAATATAAGATAGTTAAAGCAGGAACTTAAGCTTTTCTAATCTTAGGTAGAGGGACAAGAGTAATCCCTAATACTCTTAATAGACTAAGAGGTCTAAAAATAGAAGATTTAGTGCTTACTAATGTAGTGTTAGTAGAAGGTTTTTATGTGAATATTATATTAGAAGCTTAATTACTTAAAGTAGGAGTTTAGTTCCTTAGGCTAGATGCTACCTTGCAGTTTAGATTATTAGAAAAGAGCGTTGTATTAGCTAAGTTACTACGCAAGTTTAACTTAACTTTCCTAGAATATAAGCCCTCTACTCCTTATCTAATAATCTAAAGTATAGTGCCTAAATAACCCTAATAATCCTAGATAACTTACCTAAGACACGACAGTAAGGAGCTTTAGCACTAATAATTAGGCTATTTAGGACCTAAGGCGCTTAAAGCTCTAGTTAAGTTAGTAATAAACGTTAGGATTAAAGGAACTCCTAGGAGCAAATACAAGTACTGCGCTATTACACATGCCTAACAGGTTATATTAAGACAACTAAGGGAAAGATTACCACGTCTATAATACTAGGTATTATAGGATCTATTTAATATGCTAATAGGTATAGCTTATAAGCAATAGATCTTAGTATTAAAGTGCGACTACTTAGGAAAGCTTTATACCTATCTACTACAAGCTAAAAACCTTAATAAGATTATACAGGTATTTAAAAATTTCAAGAGCTTAATACTTAACTTAATATAAGCTTAGCATAGTTAAGATTTATACAAGACAACGACGTTGCAACACTCCCTTAGCGTAGCAAATCTCGCTTTTAGATCTAGGCAGCTAATAATAGTATTAAAATTAAGAGCTTACCTGTATATACCTATAAACCTAATAGAGGAGTAGAAAGAGCAGGGCAGGAGATTATAACAAAATTAATTAAAATAAGGATTAGTGCTAACCTACTAACAAAGCTCTAGCCTAAAATTGTTAAAGTAGCGACTTAGCTCTATAATATAAGCCTATCCTATGCTTACGATATAATATTACCTAATAAAGTGCTAGATTGTTAGTTTACTAGATACTTTAGGTGGTGGCAACTAGAGTAGATAAGGGAGGCAACTGCTAATCTCCGCCCTAATTAGAGCGGAATATACGCCTATAGCTATTAAGCTTACCCCCTTAACAGAGATTAAGTAGCTAGGCGTCACAAGAGGGTTTTTAAGGTAAACCCTTAGGGTTATATTAGATATCTAGTAGGATATAGAGCATCTAATATATATAGGATATAGATCCCCTTGCTTAATTAAATTATTATAACGCAGAACGTTACCTTTAATAAGGATCTTTTCTATAAAGAGAAAGATCTAGAGCAGCTTTAATAGTTAGAGGCTTAAAAGATAGTTAACGTTATTAGTAAAGATAAGATCTGCAATGCAGGAGAAGCATATAAAGAGCTTAATATCTTTAATTAGCTTTGTATTGCGGTAGAGCAATATAAGGAGTCTAGTAAGCAAGGAGGACTAAACCTAGCGTAGGAGCTAGGGGGTAGGGTAGAGCTAGAGGAGGTAGATAATTAGGCTAGCTAGCCTAGTAATTCATAACCCCCTAAGCAGACACCTCTAGCGTAGGTACTAAGTACGGCCAGCTTAGCACAAAGGATCTATACAAAGTCCCCTAAGCTAATAGGGCTCTAAACTCCTAAACTAATACTAGAACTAAACTTTAGTATAGGAGATAAAGGATCTATACAGGTTATAGATTAGGGTCTTACTACCTAAGATAGTAGTAATCTAACTTACTTTAACGCCACAATAGGTAGCTCCTAGGAAAGACCTAGAGGGGAGAGTGCTATTAGTAGGTCACTCTATAAGAGCACGGAGATAGGTAAGGGCACCCTATCTAGCTCTTATAGGGGTAGTAAGTAGAGCTCCTACCTACCTACTTTAGGACTAGATTCTATATCTCCTGCAGATCTCTTATAAGCGGCACCTAGAGCTCCTAGAAGAAGTAGAAAACTATAAGTTAAAGGACTACTACTAACATATATTAGTAAGCAAGCTTAGGGACAGGACCCTAATAAACTACTAGGAGGCTCTATAAGTATAGGGATATATATAGTAATAGATCTATTAGATATAGATCTAATTAGAAATCCCTTATATAATCTTTTAGTATATCCTAAACTAAACGCTATAATCTACGCTATAATTATAGTAGTAATAGGGAGTAAATCTCCTAAAAACCCTAAAAGGAATACGCACTAGGACACTCTATAAAAAGAGCTAAAATAATAGAAGGATCTCTATAACTACTAAATAGGATAGTAATTTAGAGACGTAGTATATAAAGAAATTAATACTCTGCTAAAAGCTAGTACCTAGGAGGAGATTAATAGGCTAACTAAAGGAGAGCGTCTACTCCTACTTAAATAGGTGTTTACATACAAGCTTAATTAGGATAGTTACCTAATTAAGTGTAAAGCAAGGATAGTAGTAAGAGAAGATCTATAGCTTACTAACTTAATTTATTTAACCTATATAGCTACCCTAGTAGCTTAAACCTTTAGGACTATAATAGCTATTAGAGCTAAGTTTAACCTTAAGATATATTAATATAACGTTGTTAGAGCTTTCCTTAACACCTTAAGGGATTAACACCCTATAGTTATCTATAAGCTACCTAAAGGATATTAAATACCTAGGAAGTGCGTTAAGCTTAAATAAGCTCTATATAGATTAAAAGACTTACTATTATTATAGTATAATAAGCTCTTAACTACACTCTAAGAAAATAAGCTTATTGCTTCTAAAGAAGAGCTATACCTATTCTTTAACAGAGATTGCAGTATCTTGTTAATATTCTATATAGACAATATCCTATTATTCTATTACTAAAACTACGCAAGCTAAGCTTACAAAGTTATCTAAGCTCTAAAGCAAAGATATACTATAGAAGAGAAGGGACCTATAAGCTAGTTTCTAGGGGTAAGAGTAATCTAGGATAGAAAGAGATAAATAATAACGCTTATTTATAATAAATATATTAATAAGATTACAAAGAAATTTAATCTAGTAGAGATAGGAAAATTCCCTACTATACTACTATTAAGTAAAGATATTAAAAAGAGTACTAGAGAAGCTACTAAAAAGGAGATTAAGGACTATTAGGAGCGCGTTAGATTAATCCTTTACACCTTAATTATAGTGCGCCCTAATATTGCCTATGTAGCCTCCTAGCTCTTCTAATACCTTACTAACCTATCTAAATAATACTTTAATATAGTTAATTAAGTAATTATCTATCTATACTAAACTTAATACTAATTAATCTAATATAGGAATAGGGATCCTAATAAGCTTATAATATATAGTAATGCGTTATTTGCTAATAATATTAATACTTAGCAATTATTATATAGGTACCTAATTATGCTCTTTAGAGAACCTATTATTTAGAAGGCAGCTTAATAAGTAACTATTACTACGTTAACTACTAAGGTAGAGCTCCTTGCGCTTAAGTAAGTAAGTAAAGAAGTAATAGTGTTAAAACGCTTTTTAACTAAAATACACCTTACTTTAGATACTACCTAGATAATTAATTATAATAATTAACAAACTATTAGGTTAGTAGTAGGCAATAATAAAAGGATTACTACTAAGCTACGCTATATAGATATTTAAAACATATAGCTTAGATAAGAGTATAAAAAGGGATCTTTCTATATTACTTACCTACCTACTAGTAATATACTAGCTAATAGGCTTACTAAAAACCTAACTTTATAATAATTTATAAGGTTTAGGAAGCACCTAAAGTTATATAATAGTAGAGTATATATTATATAGTATTAATTAAAGTAAGGTAGTATATAAGATCTATTAATATATAATATAAAAATAACTAACTATAGCCTACCTCTTTATTATTAACTAGGTAGCTTCCCTAAGGAGCTCTATTACGCGTGTAAAGCGTGCCTTAGAGTCTATAGGGGGCTACCTAGGTTACCCTATCCTAGGATCTATAAGGGGAACCTTAGAGGAGCTAAAGTCCTTATCTTCTAATAAGGAGCTCTAGGCGCCCTTAGCTATAGAAGTAGCCTTACGCGTAAGCTTAGTAGTAGTAGTAGTAGCTTTTACTAGCTCCTGCTATTTAGCCTTACTCTCCTTAAGGAGCACTAAGACCCTTTACTTCTTATCCTTAAGAAGGTCTTAGCTCTTACCTACCTACTTCCTTACTAGGAAGGATAGCGTAGAATATTAGGCAAGCTTAGGGCTATTAGTTTATTAGTATAAGATCTTACTAAAGTATTATAAAGGAAAAATTTCTTATATAGATTATATATATTAGGATATAGCTATACCTAGAGAAGTACTACTAGCACTAAGTCCCCCTACTAGAAAAGTTATAGCACTTGCTATTAGACTTATTAAAGAGCGCTAAGCGTAGATAATTTAGATAAGTTTTAGCATAATAAATACTAGGCTCTCTATAGTAGGAGGATCTTAGGGTCTCCTTAGGAGCTAGAGAGGGAGTAGGGGCAGGAGCAGGGGCCTTAGGCAGGGTCTAGGGAGGAGCAGGAGCTAGAGCTAGAGTTAGAGCTAGAGTAGTAGGAGCTAGAGTAGGAGTAACCTTCCTTAGCTTTGCGATCTTAGCTATAGTAGCAGTAGCCGCGCGCTTAGCTACTACGCGCTTAGCTGCTGCACACTCTATAATAGCCTTACGCTTAGTAGTAGTGTACTCTTCTTTAGTAGCAGTGGCTTTAGAGACTATAGCTTTAGCTACGCAGGAGGCAATAAGGGCAGCGTAGGTAGAGCAAGCGCAAGTAGCAGGTTTTAACTTTAACTAAGATATAGGTTAGTAGGGATATAGGTATAGTTTAGATTTTTAAGGTTATATAATCTTATAACTTAAGCTATAGTAAAGATTATAGTTAGGTAGATAGAGTTATAGAGCTCTATCTAGATAATATCTACGCGCGTAAGCGCAGGCTAAATAAGGAAGGCGCGCTAGTTAGTATCTAAAGGGTAAGCTAATTTAACCCTTTAGATATATAACACTCTAATTAGCTATACTACCTACTAACTATAAGTATAACTATAATAATAAAAGATCTACCTATACCTAGGGGGTGTGTTATAGGAGGGATATTAACTAGATTATAAAGTATCTTAATCCTAATTAATCTTAATTAATCCTAGTTAATACCCCTATATAACCCACTATCTAATTAACTGCTAGCTTACTACTAAGTGCCTAATAAAAAGTAGGAGCTCTAGTAAGGAAGGTTTACTAATTATTTACCTTCTAGTAAGGGTAGCTAAAGCTCTATATATATATAAGTCTGATTATAGTAGATATAATCTAATAATCTATCTCCTAAATTATTCCTAACCTTAGTAATCTAAATTTCCACATATACTCTATAAGCTTACTTTCTTATATAGTATTAAGTATTTAACTATTTAGTAGAGTAGTAGTATATACCTACTAAATTTTCTAGTAGTATCTAGATAAGGTTAACTATAAGTAACTATACTTTTTTACTATTTCTAAGTATATAAAATCTTCTCTAAGAGTTAAGGATTTAATTACTATAAGCGTGTTATTAATAGGTGCTATAGTTATTAAGAAATTTAGTGTTAAAAATTTAGTGATTTTAGTGTTAGTGGGCGCTCGGTGGGGGTGGGCGCTCGGTGGTGGATCACGTTAGCGCCGGACCCAACGCCTTGCACGGCTCGCTTGCAGCGGAGTGCCCAATGTCCTACCGGTACCATCACTACTGTACAGAGGGGGCGCCGGCGATGTGGTGTGGTCGAAGAGGCAGGTCCCTAGGGAGGGTGAAGGGCCCGACAGTCGGAGCGAAAGGATCTTCACTGGATGCACGACTCTGTCCTGCGTTTTGGGTCGAACATTCTTCGCTGTCAGACGGACGCCATTGGGGGCCAAACCCATCAAAGTCCTACCGGTACCGTACCGTACCTAGGTGTCGATACGCAAGAGAAGGTTGACAGGTGAAGTCATGTCCTCATGTCTCGCTAGACCTGGTAGACGGGATACCGGTACCGGTACGGTACCTAGTCATGTCAAATCCCCCTTTACATACACACATCTAACCAAAACAATTAGTCCATAGCCTCAATTTCCCCTGCTCCATCTTACCTGCCATGCAATGCAGTGCAGCGAGCAGGTCACACATGAAGAGTGAACGACTCCACTTCCAGTACCGGTACGTTCCAGAAGCCCCATTCTATTTCCACACAGCTACCCACCCGAGTCTAGTCTCCCCCAACATGTTGCACGCACGGTCAAAAGCTTAATGATCCCTCATTCCTAACTGTACTGCGTTGATTCATCATATATAGTATATACTGTACACATATACACCCAAACATGAACCGCAGTATGCACACCGTTACCGTAGATAAACAGGGGGCGGCTTGGTCTCGCTATCGTAAATCTTGGCGGCACGGCGCTGGTCTGGGTATACCGGTACACTCCGAGGCGGGGCGATGGACTTGTCATATTCAAAGAATAGGTTCACGCATCGTGTCCTCGAGGCTCACACTCTCGTGATCATCGAGAGAGGACGGGTCAGTGTTGGCATCATCTATAAACTTAAGATCAAGAACAACAGCAGGACAGATTGGGAAATGGTTACAAGTATCATCAGTATTAAGGAGAAGCAAGCAATAGCCAGCCGATACACTAGAATATCATCGTGGCTCAAACATGCATCCTCCAGCGCAAATGATGTTAACAGTCTGCTCGAGCAGGTCCAATCTATATGTTCGCCAGGCGCTGCATCAGCAAAGAAAACCAAATGGAACCTGAGAAGCATACCAAGCCTGCTACGAGCTAGCTATACTGTCGATTGCTTGTTGCCCATGTACAATGGACTACCATTCAAGAGACAGTACTCGAGCCGTCCAAAAAGCCCAGACAAAGCACCATCTAGCCACGAGGAGCACGAGGGGCATTCAGATCCTCTTGCAACGCCTGCTGCTTGAGCTGCTGCTCTGCCAGCTCACGAGCTTGAATATATTCAAACTTCGCACGCGCAGCCTTGAGCTCGGCCTCGGCTACCTCCAACTCAGCCGCAAGCTTCTGCACAGCCAACGGCTCATTTGACGCATCAACCTGTCCACTGTGGGAAGGTTGGACGGCATTGGGAGCGGGGGTCGTCGAGTAGCTAGATATACGGCGGGGATGGGCGGATCGGGGGGTAGGAGAGCCGTATGACTCCTCGCCGTCAGATTGGAGGATGTAACGGTCATGACGGCGGCGGTTGTTCTCGGTGCTAGGGCGGTTGGCATTGGACTGAGTGCTGAGAATGGAGTCGCCGCGGTCCTGGGAGTGCTGCTTCTTGGCGCCTTTCTCAGGGCGAACAAAGCTGCCGTCGTTGGCACGGCGGAGACGAGCGGCTGTTGGCTTGGTTAGCTGGATGTTGCTCTGGATGTGGTTGTGACTTGTATAGCTCACTCTTTCGGCGCTTGGATGATTCTTGGACGCGAGCTTCATATACCTCGTGGCGGGCCCTGCGCTTCGATGAGCCCTTTGGCATATTTGGCTCAACCAACTCCTCCAGATAGGAGTCGGTGGAAGAGTCAGACACGGGTTGGACTGGGTTCGCCATGGCTTCCTTGCGGCCGGGATTCTCGACGTCGAGCTTGATTTCCTTGATGTCTGACAATCGACACCAAGGGTGTGTCTCCTCGTGGAGAGCAACCTTCTCGTACAACTCGGCATGGAAGGTGGCCAGGTCCCAGCCACTGACGCGATTGATGGTCTTGAGATCCTTAAGGAACTGGACACCCCAGTTGCGCGGGTCGTTCTCCGTTTGGTCCTGTTGTTATTGTCAATCACTGAACAACAAATGTCCATCACTGGCAGCATACCTTGATGTGGTCACGGCGCTCCGTATCCCACTGACGCATTCGTATGTCTTGAGGAATGATATCGACTACATCCTCGACCTTGAAAGATTTGGCTAGTGCGGGGAGCATGCACTCGACCAGATCCTTGGTCTCTTCATTCAGGGTATCAAAGCGGCCCATCTCGACTGCTTCAAAAGACGATCAGGAAACTGAATCGCGAGCTGGGTACTGTAGCTATCCAATTCTGATTAGTGGCGGACTTGATAAACAAAGTGGCACTAAGTGCTGGTGTCGCGACAGACATGCCGTCGAAGCACCTCGCGTGCCAAATCAACAGCGCAAGATGTAGATGTCGCTTCGAAAGTCAAAGCAGAACAGCAAACACTTACCAAAAGTCTAGTATACGTTGTTGCTGTCCTTTTCTTGAAGCGTATATTGCAAAAAAGTGGGAGGTTGCAGGAAGAAGAGTCAGTGAGGTGGGTGGAGCTATATAGGCTGTGGCAGCGTCACATGCGCTAAGACAATGCAAATTCACCTTAACTAGACCCTTTTGCACCAGTGAGAGTGTAAGCAAGATTGTGGTTTGACGGTCTAGTGCAATGCGTTTGCACGGGATGGCAAGAATGTTATTCCGCGAGGGTGAGCAGTGAAAGACCTCTCTGATAAGAAGTCGCCGCCAATTAGGCAGAACAGACACGGCACCTTGAAAAGGAGTAACAACTGATTCTAAAAAGAAATGGGGACGATAACTTGATAGTAGCCACCACCGAGGGTTTGGTGGTGGAGCGAGGCGGAGATGTGTAAGGTGAGAGAGGAGGCTTAGTAGAGATTGCTTTACCTGCAGATCTACGCACCACGAACACAAACAACTCAAGCCATCTGCTAAAACTGAATTATTGGCCCCAAATCGAGTCAAGAAAAGAAGTGGATGCTACCTCGCTTTCGTGGAAGAATGCCCAAAATTTGTTGATCACTATGCATCCGTGAACAAAAACGAAGCAAATCACATGATAGCATAGAATTAGTAATGACAAAGACTTTTGCCTATACAAGATGAAATGTGAATTCAATACAGCCGTCTATGGGAGATACAAAAGGGAGAAGAGGGTATCGAGGTCGAAGACGACGATCCCCTCGGCACGACTTTCTCTCCGCATTCGCCTACAAACAACATCTCGCTTCCACCTTCCTTCCACTCTTCACTTACCCAAGACTCAGCCTCTAAATTATCAACCTTGAACATGAACATAAACATCAAATAACAAGCCAGATCACTCCGTAGACTCAGAAAATAGAGGCAAAAAGAAAAGAGATGGCAACCAAGCGCTCCCGTTCCCCCTCCCCTCCCCAAAACCCTTCAATCTGCCTCAGCTCCCCCATCCAAGAACAAACCTCCAGATTCATCGGCGTCTACTCCCCCAGCCTCCCTCTGAAAACCCTCCAAGCCCTCCCGGATTTCCGTACCGCCACCCACATCATCTCCGCCTGGCGGAAACCCTCGCGGCAAAAATCCCTAACCCCTGCTTCCAAACCCCTCCATGACGAAGGCCACGACGACGGCGGCGAATCCTGGGCCGGAAAACGTCTGGCAAGTGTCCTACGAGACACTCAAACCGAGGGCACAGTAGTTGTAGCGCGTTGGTACGGCGGCCAAAACATTGGGCCCATTCGCTTCACGCACATTGAGAATTGCGCCAAGGAAGCGATTTACAAGTTCAAAACGGAGCAGGCGCGTGCTGTGCAAGAAGCAGTGCGTAAGAAGCAGAAACTTGAAGAGGAGGTGAGACGCAAAGAGTTGGTTGAGAACTTGCGGGAACGAGATTACAACATCTTTGCGCTGAGAACGTTGCTGGCGCAGAAGAAGGCGAAACTGGCGGATGAGGTGGCGGTGCCCCTGACACCGCAGAGACCGCAGGCGTATGAGAGCATGGAGAGTGAGGCGTTGAGACGGGTGGATAAGGCGCGGGATGCGACGATTGCATTTGTTTTGAAGGAGATTGATAGGGTGGATGAGGAGTTGAAGTTGGTGCAGGATCTGGTGGAAGATGGGAAGGGAGAGGATAAAGAAGAGGAGAAGGAAAGACTGACGACGCTGATTTGATCTGGGAGCAGTATACCCATGCTCAGGATAAAGGGGGTTCAAATGATTGCATGATACCGCTTGGGCGTAACTACTTTCAAGGGCTGCGCTTTTCATATGAAGCGAAGAGATCTTGCATCATGTCGGCATCGGATCTGAAATATGACAGGGGCGAAGCTCAAAGTAAATAACATCATCAGACATATATTGCGGGCCGTCTGCATTCAGACGTTTAAAAGCCTGCAGTCGAATTCTTCAAATCGACGGTCAGAGCACAGACACCATTTCGTCCTGCTTAGCATCATTGCAGAGGGGGGATATGTGGCAATGGACGATCGGGAGCATTTCATCACACTACATGCAAATGCAATGTACTGCTCGAGGCCGATCGAGCACGTCATGTGCTCCATAAGTCCGAGGGCGTTCGAGTCCCCTGTAGTGTACTATGACGCTTGTAACTTTTCGTCGATTATGTGGGTTGGTATCAAGTATTCTCTGCAGTCTGTGGGCTAGCCAACTGTAAGATCAGGTGTGCTCTGAAGTCTACTTCGAGCCTATGGAACCCCCAGACACCAAACGCCGTAATATATACAGCTTCGAAACAGATCGATCTCAAATCGACTTTAGCGCTCTACCTTGCCATCCCGATCCAGCAGTTCCCTCGCCGCAATGATCTCTGCCTCTTCATAGCCCGTCCAACCCTTGCTCCCTGACTTGTACTGCCTTACAATCTCTGCAAGCTTTTTGGTGGCGATCTCTTCAAGCTTCTTCACAGTCGCTAGGCTGGGAATGGGTATATCATCATCGTCTTGTTGTTGTGCATTGCGCTTATTGTGTGATGTAGAGCTTGGCTCTGATAGTGCAGTGTTAATCTTCGAGCTCACAAGCTTAAGACCATAGAATCCACGAATGTAGGAGTCGTTTAGCTCGATTGAGCGGCAGAAGTGCTTTAGTGACAGGGCAAGGGCGGAAAGACTGCGTGGTGTGGAGGAGGCTGTGGAGAGGTAGTGCAGGGTTGCGACATGCGCATGTGCCTATTAACGGGGTTAGTAACTGTTTCATGACCGAGAATGCTCTCATCTGATGTAGGCATCACATACGCTCCATGCGTTCGGTGTGATGAGCAACACCTCTTCAGCGCAGTATATTGCCTGTCCCCATGCCTGCTGGCCCGCGTACAACTCGCTGGCCTCTGCCCAAGCCTCAGCATCTGTTGGACTGTTTTCTAATAATGTGGTGACGGCTGTGATGGCATCCTGGTGCCTTCCCAACGCCTTCAGCACTGCCACCCTCCTCTTTCTGATGTGCATGTTGGTTGGGTCTTCTCTCAATATCTTCTCGTAGCCGTGAAACACTTTTTCCAGATCATTGTTTGACCGTGCAGTGGCCTCGTTGTAGATGCCGCGAAGTGTGATGATGCGCTCGTTGTGCTCGCCGAAACGGTCCTCGAGGCGAGTGAGGATAGCGCGCGCAGAAGCCTCGTCGCCAGTGCGTAGGGTGGCGTAGAAGAGGTTTTCGTGGATGGTCCATGATTCAGGAGTCTCACGTGAGAAGAGCAGGGAGAATGGCCATGGCAATGATGAGGTGGGTGCGGATGCGAGTATGAGGGGAGCCTTTTGGGAGAGTGCGAGTGCGGTTTGTGGTGGGATCTGGGAGGGCGGGGATAGAAGGTTTGCTTTTGTCATGGCGGCAACTTTGTGTGTATGGGATTTTGCTATCTTTTTCTGGAGAGCTCAATTGAGTGAAGTCACTTGATTCGGGCTGGTATATAGGCTTCCAAGCTTGGGAGAGGCAAGGTGTGAATGTACGTTGAATGTTGTGAGTCTGGCCCAAGCTTTGCGACCACCATGTTCGGCCCAACTAGCGCCGATGGGCACTGGGAGTGTGAGAGAGATGCACGTCAACGCTTCTTGGACAACAGCTCGGCCGGCAACACAAACAGCGAGAACAGAGTGGTTCAGGCTGAGGCACTGCCCGAAAGAATCATCACGACGATATGAACTGCATTTCATGATCATGCCTGCTGGCCCGCCGTCTGCACGCTCCTGCCCACGTACCCCCACCTCTTGCGCCGAGATAGTTGGACACACGACTGCGGGGGATATTCCTAGGACATCGCCAATATGTAGGGCCATGGCAGGAATCTAGTTGTGCAATCACAAAGAGGCTGATGGTCTTTTTCAGGTTCGAGAAGTCACTCTACGACCTCATTCGAGGCCTCCGCAACCACAAGGGCAGCGAGAAGGAATACATCGCCGAGAGCATAAAAGAATGTCGCAAGGAGATTCGTTCCAACGACATGGACCTCAAGGCCACTGCGCTCCTGAAGCTCACATATCTGGAGATGTTTGGCCATGACATGTCATGGGCGAGCTTCAATGTTCTGGAAGTCATGTCGAGTTCCAAGTTCAAGCAGAAGCGCACAGGATACCTCGCCGCCGTGCAAAGTTTCAGAAGGGACACCGAGGTCCTGGTGCTCGCAGAGAATCAACTCAAAAAGGACATCATGAGCTCGAGCCCGCCCTATGTCAGTCTCCCGCTTGGCGCAATACCGCATGTCATCAATCCCAGCATGGCCAACTCAGTCCTCTCCGACTTGATCCCACGGTTGACACACACGTCGCCCATGATTCGCAAGAAGACGGTCGTCACGCTTTATCGACTTGCGCTCGTCTATCCAGAGACTTTGCGACCTGCTTGGCCAAAGATCAAGGAACGACTGCAGGACGAGAACGAGGATGCAAGTGTCACAGCTGCCATTGTCAACGTCGTCTGCGAACTAGGCTGGAGGCGACCGCAGGATTTCTTGCCGCTGGCGCCTAGGCTATTCGACCTACTCGTCGAAGGAGGAAACAACTGGATGGCTATTAAGCTGATCAAACTAGTGCGTACTACTCTTGAGCCCGATTTGATCGATCTATTCTGACCCTTCCAGTTTGCGACGCTCACGCCTCTGGAACCCCGACTGATCAAGAAACTCCTCCCTCCTCTGACGAAAATAATACGAGAGACATCTGCCATGTCACTATTATACGAGTGTATCAGTGGCATTATACAAGGTGGCATCCTGGAAGCTGTCGATGGTACTGCAGAGGGCGAGGAAGTAGCAAAGCTATGTGTCGGCAAGTTGAGAGGCATGATGATTATAGAAGGAGATGCAAACTGTAAGCTAATGCGCATATCAATTCAATGTCTACAAATCTCATCAGTGTGTAGTAAAATACGTCGCATTGCTGGCTTTCGACAAGATTGTTCGATCCCACCCACACCTAGTATCCCAGCAGCAAGACGTCATTCTCGAATGCATTGACGACCCGGACATTTCGATACGAATGCGGGCCTTGGACTTGGTAGTCGGCATGGTCAATACGGACAACCTGACTGCCATTGTGGGACGACTGATGCGACAGCTCCGGAATGCGCCGATTGCGTCTGCAACTAACGACCCAAACAACGATCGGAGTCGAGAGATGGGCATTAATCCCTATGCGGATGATGACTCTGATGCCGAAGAGACTCTACCAGAACACGAACTCCACTCTGACCAGCCTCCACCACTTCCAGACGACTATCGCATCAATGTGATTCAACGTATATTGGAAATGTGCTCGCGGGACACTTATAGCAACATCGCCGACTTTGAATGGTACATTGACGTGCTCGTGCAACTTGTACGAGTGGCACCAGCGACGCGATCATCTGCCGTTTCAGACGAGAATGAAGATCTAGAACATGAGGATGATGTTGGCAGTGATATAGGTCGCGAGTTACAGAATGTAGCTGTTCGTGTCAAGAGTGTTCGAGCAGAAGCAGTGGACGCTGCGCAATCGCTGGTTCTCATTGATAGAAGAGATCAAATGTTCCCAGCATCTGGCAATGGTGGCCAAGGCGTCCTTGAGTTTGCTGGCTGGCTTGTGGGTGAATACGCAGATTACCTTACACGACCAGAACCTGTCATGACTTCGCTTCTACATCCTACCTCCCTCCAACTCTCTTTCAAAACTCTCGCCGTCTATCTTCAGGCCATACCGAAAGTGTTCTCGAGTATAGCGGGGAGCGATCGGATCTCCTGGACTCCTGAGCGCAAGACTCTAATGTCGTTGCTCATGGCTCGAATCATACATTTTCTGGAACCGCTCTCCACGCATCCTAGTCTCGAAGTTCAAGAACGAGCAGTGGAATATCTTGAACTCATGCGCCTAGCTGCTGAAGCTGCGTCTGGCACAGCCACTGGGGGCAACCACGACGGCTTTACAGATCCACCGCTACTACTGACGCAAGCCATACCCGCACTCTTCTCAGGCGCCGAACTTAATCCAGTTGCCCCTGGAGCGCAACGAAAAGTGCCAGTACCCGAAGATCTAGATCTCGACGTCCCAATCAATCCCAATTTGCAACGACTGTTATTCCAAGCTGATAACGAAGGCTTCGAGACGGAAGAAGACGATGTCTACGCCGCATACTCTGAGCCCGTCGCAGCCTACGCAGACGCCCCGGCTATTGTCACACCAGCAGCCGACCGACTCGACGCGCCACATAAGGAGCCTACCTCGTACCAAAACGCAGCAGAGGAAGAATACCTCGACCCAGACATCATCGCACGCCGCAAAGCCGAGCGCAGAGAGCGCCACAAAGACGATCCATTCTACATCGATCCGGACGGCGGAAGCGGGACTGTCACACCCCTCAGCCGCATCGTCCGCGACGGCAACCGCGAGAACAACGAGCTGGACATTGACTCGATACCGATCATGGAACTCCACCTCGACAGCAAAGCCTCCTCCTCCCCGCTACCCCGCTCCCGCAGTCCGCGCAAACCAGCACGCAGAGTCGAAATCATGGGCGACGAGTCCCTCGGTCCGGCCGAGGCGGACGCCTCGCGCGACCATGTCGTGCAGCCGCGGCCGGCCAAGACGAAGAAGTCCCTGCTCGAGGTAGATAGCTCGGGACTCGGGTCGCTGAGCCTCGTGGACGACGAGGATGTGACGGGTCGCAAGTTGACGGCGTTTGAGATTGAGCGCAAGGCGCAAGAGGATGCGGAGATGAAGAGGGCGCTGCAGGAGGTGGAGAGGTTGCGGTTGGAGATGCAGCGGGCGAGTGAGAGGTTGCATGTCAAGGAGGAGGTGGCGGTGAAGAAGAAGAAGAAGAAGGTTCGCAAGGTGGAGGTTGGTGGGGATGATGAGGCGTCTGTGTTGGGTGGGGGGTTGGAGGCGAGGGGTCAGGCTGAGGCTGAGGCTGATGTGGCGCCGGTTAAGAAGAAGAAGAAGAAGAAGGGGAAGGGGAAGAGTGAGGGGGATGGGGGTAATGGGGTTAATGATGGAGGAGAGGAAGAGGAACAGGAAGAGGGTAAGGCGAAGAAGAAGAAGAAAAAGAAGAAGCGGACTGTGGTTTTGGATGAAGGTGGAGATGCGCCTGCTGAGTAGTACCCCCCCAAAGTCAACTGACTGCACCTTTGCCACGCGCACAACAAAGAGCGAGCAAAGCCGGATATAAACAATAAACAGTGATCATGCCAAATGGAAATCAACATGACATGCAATTGATGATAGTATTCCCTCTAACATTTTTTTTCCCCCAATCCAACGATTCCCCGCCACGCTCGGCTCACAGCTCCCCTAATGTAGTAAACTTGAAAAAAGAGAAGAGAGGAAGAGAAGAAAGTATAAAGTAAGATAAGACCCAGTTGTACCCCATGCCACACCATGATGAATAACGGGAAAATCGTGCCAGATGCAAATCATCCCGCATTCAGTTTCACTGCCAGGGGAGCGGGGTGGGGAGATGTACACGCAGAACAAACGTTCCTCCTTTGCTCGACGGTGTGGTGTGAGTCCACATTGTTGTTTCATCTCGAGGGGTTGTGTAGTTTGCAGTGTCTGTGTGTGTCCGGTATCTCCAATGGGGAAATGGGGAATAGGCCAGCGAGCCATGGTGTCGGAGAGAGGGAGAAAGAAGAGGGAGGGCAAGTAGGAGTCAAAGGGAAGGGATGCGCCAACGACTTAGAAGAAGAGTCTGAGGATTTCAAAGAGGAGACCGCCGCAGAGGGCGAAGCCGAGGAGGACTGTTGGTGAGTGCATGTTAGTGATTTGATTCATCTTCCTTGTTCCTCGTCGTGTTGTCGCATGCATGCTTTTCATACCCAAGTGCCCATCCTCCTGTCCATTCCCCGCCTCGTTCCGGCCTCGAAAGCAGAAATAATAAACGGGAAAAGGCAACACTTACTAATCCACACCCTGCTGATCGGACTCTTCTGCGGGCCCAGTTTGCGCGGGACAACGGGCTGGTCGGGCATGCCCATCTTCTTCTCCTGCGCCTTGGCGAAGCGCATGTTGGCTTGTCTCTGTTGCGGGGTTTGGGCCTGCGGGGGTTGCGTGGGTGAGTGAGGGTGTTGGGGAGTTGCGTGTGTTGGGGGTGAAGGCATGGGGATGGGGATGGGGATGGGGATACGTACCATTGTGAACGTGGATATCTATATGAGTGCGCGCGCGAGCGAGAGAGAAAGGAACAGCAAAGCTAGATAACCGGCAGTCCTCGTCGACAATCGCAATACTATACGTCGCAGTACCAGTAAACCCAACCGCGTCTTTCACCGTTCTACCAAAGTCGCCAAAGTACAGTATCAGCCCGTACCCTTAACCCTCAAGCCGGAAGAAAATCCTAAAAAGCCTAAATCTTCACGTCCGTTGTCGCCGTCTAGTTGTAAAAAGCAGAGTGTGTGAATGCGAAGAGAGAAGGGCGTTGTAAAAACAGTTCGTCGACGTTGACGTTTGTCCAAGTTGTGCAAGGTGTTCGTTTAGAGTAGCTCCTTCTTCACATGCATCGTAGGCGAAGAATTCTT